ATCGGCAGACATTTCAATTTAAATGCATTTAGCTATTTCCCTTCTCAAACTTCTTCATGTGTAATTTCAAAATGAATTGTTTTGTTTGCATGCAGTCAAATTGGAAGGAGAATTCTGTTTGCAATAAATTCCTATGTGCCTATTCAAACTACTTCTTCGAGAAAATTTTTTCTCACATGCAGAACAATCATGCAACTTTCCATCGGTATGGATCAACATATGATTTTTCAAATGTTGTTTTCGGGTGAAACAACTTTTGCATGCGGAACAACAGTACGACTTTTCACCAGCATGAATCTTCATGTGTGTTTTCAAATTCACTGATTGAGAAAAATTTTTTTTGCATTCTGGACAACTGTACGGTTTTTCACCGCTATGAACCCTCAAATGTCTTTTAAAAGTCGATATACCAGAGAAACGTTTTCCACATTCAAAACAACCGTACGGTTTTTCACCGGTATGAGTCCTCATATGTGTTCTAAAACTCGATAGATCAGAGAAACGTTTTCCACATTCTGAACAACCGTACGGCTTTTCACCAGTATGAATCCTCATATGTGTTTTTAAAGTCGATTGATCAGAGAAATGTTTTCCACATTCTGAACAACCGTATGGTTTTTCACCGGTATGAATCCTCATATGCGTTTTCAAATTCACTGATTGAGAGAAATTTTTTCCGCATTTCGAACAACCGAACAGTTTTTTACCAGCATAATTCTTCCTATGTCTTTCAAACGGTTTTTTATTTGAAAATATAGAATGTCGTAATTCTTGTTCAGCATTCAATCCCTGGATTAATAAATTTGATGACTGTGTCTGTTTTTTACCAATATGCAAATTTGATAATTGGGAGGAAATTTTCTTACATTCCGAATAACCGTGCAGATTTTCATCAGTAAGATTTATCAAATGTCGTTCTAAATTTGATGACTGTGAGAAAGTTTTGTTGCATTCCGAATTACCATGCAGTTTTTCATCGACATCATTCATGGTATATCTTTTCAACCATATTTTTTTTGGAAATATAGGATGCTGTAATTTTTGCTCAACATTCGCTTCTTGAATTATTAAATTCGGTGACGTTGTCTGTTCTTTATCCGCTTCTTTTGTGAACGAATCCTGTAGTTCTATTTGTTCCTCATTTACTTCCGATACCGATAAATTGAGGAGTATTGCTTGTTCCGTTTGAGCCACCTGAAATTATATGAAACTGTTCATTTCATCTAACGTTGAAAATTTGATATCACCGAATGAAAAAGTTTCATTATTTTTAATCTTTAATAAACTTACTGTAGTTTGGATGTATAATTGGGTGAAGAGGAAAACGAGATAGATGATGAAATGCATTTTGATTGTTGCAATTTCTTGCCAACTCTAAAAAATATTCAAATTTACCGATACACTGTGAACGATTGCTTATAAGGAATCACACGACTTGCTTTTTGACAAATTGTTTGAAAACGAATTTTCTTCCAAACAATACATTTCGAAATATATTAGCATCGAAACGGAAACTATCGCGCAATAATTGCTATTACAATAAGTTTGCACTTTTTACATGCAAACAACACGCATAGCAACTTATTTTCACATGCAAACAACACGCATAGCAACTTATTTTCACATGCAAACAACACGCATAGCAACTTATTTCCACATGCAAACAACACGCATAGCAACTTATTTAGTTTCTAAAACTAAATTTTATGGGAACATTTATTGTAAAGTTTTTAAGCCAAATTTTGGGAAGAGACTGATATTCATTGTTGAAATAAATGAAATAGTTTTTATTGAATGAAATTTGTGGAAGGACAAAGGTCACCAAATAGCTTTTATTAGAAACTATCAAAGTATCATATTTGTAAATGCTTATTATACAGATGGGGATTACAATCAACGTGTATTAATAATAGCATACGTTTAACAATAAAATAGCAACAACTGATGTATAATCATCTATCACATTGAAATTATTTCATTTCAACTATTGTATCGAATTGTGAAAAATAGTTTCTGCAAAGCACTGATAATATTTTTTGCACAATTTCATCTCATTTAATTTTAGTTTTTCCATTTCAAAATTGAACTGATATTAGTGATATTTAATTTTAGTTTTTTCATATCTTCAAAATTGAACTGATATTAATGAGAGGGAAAAATGTTGCAATTTATATAATATACTATTAATTCTCATCCTGAAATGAACTTTTCATTTCATGAAATGGGAAATCAGAAGTAACAATATGTCATTACACACATAATACCTGTTGAAATCATTGTATGATTGATTACAGTATCGCCGTAAATCTTAGGAGAAATAAATAATAAACATTTAGATAAAACTTTGGTAGCTATTTTTGTTGAAATTTTTTATCTTCACAATTATTACCGAATAAAATTAAAATAGTAAACAAAGTAGAAATACGCCGTTTTTTACTAATTCATATAAATTCAATCTTAGATTTCAGATCGATTAAATTTGATTGATTTCGCAGATCCGAATGATTCAGCCAATTTGCTACAACAAGTCAACAGGTTAAAGAAGCATAATGCATTATTAGGCTATTGTTCGTATTAAATAATGTTGTAAATGCCTTGCGATAACGACAGAAATATATTCCGTCAACTAACTCCGTATATTTGAAAATTGTTCGAGTAAGCTGGCAGTTGGCTAATTTTCTAATTAAATTTCGAATAATTTCAGCTTATTCTTTTCATGTCGCCTTCATTTGCTTTATGATTTTTAGATCTATCATACTATCCGACTTAATACGAATCAATCGTAACTGACAGGATAGTTAAAAAAAAAACGAATTCCTAAAAGCTACTTAATTATTACAATAACTTGCAAAACTCCATCCTCTCATTATATTTAGATCTTAAAATCATTATGTATAAACCTTAAAAACATTTTATATTATGCTTTATATTATATTATACTTTATAGTATATTATTTTATATTATGCATTCCTATTTAAACTTTATTGATGATTTTTAATTTTATTTTTTTTCAACCTTTTATTTCTTGCGAAATATTTCATCCATTATTTGGATTTCATATGGCTGTAATTAGTTGCGAATAAAGAATAGAAGCACTCAATTTGGTCGATAAAGTTGTGATTTCAAATGAAGCATTATTTAAATTTTGAAACAAATAATAAACGTTGTTTCTCCTATCAACCTTATTATACAATAAAGAATGATATTTTCATCTTTGATTTTCATGAATGGCGAAGTATCGTTTCCGAAAATGATTGTCATCTGTTGCAAAATGCAAAACAAACATTTTTTCTGCAACAGAAATAATCAAGATCAAAGATTGTACCACTAAACAATTTCTTTCTCTATTACACAGTAAAATTCATAAGTACGGTAAGCAAATAATCATTAATAGCATTTTAAGGTGTGGTAAGCAAATAATCATTATCAACATTTTAAATCCAATTTAAATGTACTACAAAACTGCAGCAAAGAAATTTCTCGTTAGCATTAAATTTTTCTGAATATATCTAAGAACCCGGAAGAGTTGCATACTTTTTAAAATTTGCAGAAAATTCATCACTAAATACAATTTCTGAAAAATTTAACACAAATAAACAGCTGAAAATTATGTTATAAATCACACAATATTAATATATATATCAAATTATAGCAAAACAGGACAGAAATTAAAAAATTTAGCATAAATCGGTCGATTTCCAGGATTTGGTATCAGTTATTGCAACATAACGATGGTATCATAATTGAACAGTGATCATGAATGGCAAAAATATCGTTCGAAATCTCTACTTGCTATCGTTTTCGTAATCTCTACGTGAATTGTTGAATGATAGAACATCCATTATAATTTATTTAAATGCTAGCAATTATTGTTTGAAAGAAATCATTTTGAGTATTGTTTGTGATATTGACAATGAATCATCATACCAAAAAATTTAACGAACACACCAAAATGATTTTGTCAAGCGAAAAAGGCTAAAAGCATTTGGTAAAATTAGAATCAACAAATAGAAATTCAATATTAACAGAAATGAAAAATGGAGCGTGGAAAAGGAATATGAAAAATTATGAAAAGTTCAGAATCCGTATTATTTGCTTACTAAAACATTAACGAATTAATTATCGACGAAGATATCAGATATATTAATCAAATTAAATGTATTAGTAAAATTCATTCTATTTCAATTTCAAAGTATTATGTTGAGAATATTTGAAATATACATAAACAGATAGATAGATATTGAAAATAAATAATTCTGATGGGATCACATGATACGTTTTGACAAAATGAAAAGGAATTTTGCAGAAAGAATGAATAACATGGAAATTCTCCCAGGCTGCAAATAACATATGGTGGAAAACAGATAAAAAAATTTTCAAACATCCAAGCGTTGCTATAATATTCTTAATTTTTTCATTATTAACTGATAATTTCAAAATTTGTATAAATATTTTGATTGTACAATTTCATCAAATATTTATATCTTATCATATAATAATTCTCCTTTACAATAATTTCATTTTAAATTTTTAATTAGGTTTATAAAATTTTAACTCAATGGTAAAATTTGTTAAAATGGCTCTATTTTCAATTTTATTTATTATGTCTAGTATATCGACTAATCATATAACTATAGTGACTAAAACTATATATATATAATTATAACTTCAATAATGCTATAGAAAAAAGCAACTTACAATTTTCTTGCTCATTCAATAGTGTTCGATAATTTTGTTGCAAAGTGCTGCAACTATTCAAATAAAAATTGCTAGCAAAATTTACAACATTAATCTTTGATCGTAAAAATTTTAACAAATTTTTAATGCAAAAGAAAAAATGAAAAATTACACTTCCTTTCATAAATTTCATAAATTGTTTACACGTTTATATTTGCTTTTCAGAGCAAATAATATAAACGTGTAAACAATTTACTTTTCAGACCTAATATAAACGTGTAAAATGAAAAACGATTAAATCACATAACTTGTAAAGAAAAAATCATTTCAGCAATTTCGTGTAAACAAATATAAACGTGTAAACAATTTAATGAAAGGAAATGTAATAATGAAAGTAAAAATTATTTTCGAAAGCAAAAGTAACAATTACATTCAATAATTCTTTATGACAAATTAAACAAAAATAGTTATATAAATTGATCATAGTTAACCATATTTCTTTTATTCTTACACAATTATTACATTTTACTACAAATCATTCTGCTACCTCTTCATTTGTAATAATATTTTTTTATCTTTTTCTTATCGATAATAATTATATCAATAAACCTAATGAAGTTCAAATGAAAATTAAATCTGAAAGTTGAAAATAAATATATGAACTTAGACTTATTCAAATAATCGATGACATTTTATATTTCAATTATCTGTGAAAAATTCTTTCATACTAATTAAGATAATTCATTAGATATAAGTTCCTTATTTTCTCCATAGTAGGAAATTTATTCTTGAAAATACTACTAGAAAACAAGGAGAGATTTGATGAAGAAGAATAAGATGCTTCCTAAATGATTTTCTTAATGAATTTCCATATTTCGTTTGTTGTGACGATTAAATAATCCCCATCACTTTCTGTTGTGACGGTTAAATAATCCCCATCACTTTCTGTTGTGACGGTTAAATAATCCCCATCACTTTCTGTTGTGACGGTTAAATAATTCCGATCACTTTCTGTTGTGACGGTTAAATAATTCCGATCACTTTGTGTTGTGACGGTTAAATAATTCCGATCACTTTGTGTTGTGACGGTTAAATAATTCCGATCACTTTGTGTTGTGACGGTTAAATAATTCCGATCACTTTCTGTTGTGACGATTAAATAATCCCCATCACTTTCTGTTGTGACGGTTAAATAATTCCGATCACTTTGTGTTGTGACGGTTAAATAATTCCGATCACTTTCTGTTGTGACGATTAAATAATTCCGATCACTTTCTGTTGTGACGGTTAAAATAATTCCGATTGCAACGGTTAAATAATTCCAAATTTCCGATTACTTTTTTAAATTTTCGATTAACTTTTTAATTTCTGACTAATTATATTATCTAATCAGTGTGTCTAATTTTCATCTTCCTAACTGTATGAATGTTCAATAATCTCTGCAATCGTTTTTCTGCGAGATGTAAATTCGATGAAAAACCGTTGAAGGAATGATTCGGACAAAGTACCTTAATAGATACTATTTGAATGGAGTAGTTTAGTTTGACAAATGAATTGGAAGTGTAACCGAAGAAGTTTAATAGATGGCATCGGAAATTTATTTCTTAATGAAACGGAAGTATCATATGCCATTTATTAACTTACACAATGATCAGTGAAAATGTTGCATGCACCAACGAAAAATCAGTATTAATAAAACGAATTCATTTAAATTTAAAAGTTTACCAAAAAATTGAAACTGAACTTTTGTTTGTTCCTTTTTCTTCGAATATAATTTATCGCGAAAAATTTGCTTTTGTAATATACCGAAAACTGTAATCCTTGACCTTGTTCAAGACAGCACTCACCTCGTTGTCATCCAAAAAATTGAAGCTGAACTTTCGTTTGTTCCTTTTTCTTCGAATATAATTTATCGCGAAAAATTTGCTTTTGTAATATACCGAAAACTGTAATCCTTGACCTTGTTCAAGACAGCACTCACCTCGTTGTCATTTGATATTTTCCGATGAACAAATGGAATGTTGTAAAATTCATGCATACGGTGGTTAGCAGAAGTACAAGGACATTTTTCTTTTAATTTGTGATTCTTTAGCATTGATCGGTCGTTTCCTGTTTTATGTGTAATTTTTCCCTTTCGTGTTTCAATCGAGATCATTAATTCATCGTTGATGACTTGTAGCATATATTATGGTCTCATTATGATGGGTAATAGTATTGCATGACGGCACATATGATTTATATAACTTGTGATATCAGTTATTAGTTCCATTTATTTTGCACCTATTTGGTATGAAAATATATATGTGATATCTTTTATTTCGATTCCTAAACATTTATTTCTTTGCAGTTTGTCATAACCGATGTTTAAAAATCATAGTTCATTTGATGATATTTGTTGTGATCGTAATCGATGTTTAAAAATCACAGTTCATTTAATATTTTGTTGTGATCATAATTGATATTTAAAAACACAGTTCATTTAACATTTGTTGTGATCTATTATCGTGCAGTGCTGCGATAACTTGGACATTACCAACAATTTTCATCTGAAGCGGAAAATTCGAGATGATTGGAGCGGATCCAATTATTGGCAAACGTCGTGTCTATAAAATTGTTCTTACTGGTGGTCCATGCAGCGGGAAAACCACAGGACAAGTGATAAATTCGATTTTTACCTTATAATTATTGTTATGATTTGCAAAGTATAAAATCATGGTATCGTTTTGAAAAATTGTTAAATACTTCAAAATTAAAGTACATTCAGAATTTTTCAAAAACGATACCATGATTTTATATTTTTCAAATCATAATAATAGTTTAATTTAAACTGATATATTGGTTCATTTTTGAAAGCAAAAAAGCAACTCTGTTTGTTTTTGCAAATTCTGCTTTCTCATCTAAAAATGCTTTCCGAGTGGGACTACTTTATTATATGCTTTCTATTAGTAATTATTTTCTCAATTACTAACACTATCTACCAATTCTTAATTCTTAATTCTTATTGTGATGCGACTTTTAGGAACGTCTTCGGACATTTTTCGAAGAAATTGGATGGAAAGTATATACTGTACCGGAAACAGCCAGTATATTACTTGGTGGTGGTGTGAAATTCGAGGAGTTATCAAAGAGACAAATCTACGACTTTCAGAAGGATCTGTTATTAACTTTGCTAAGAATTGAAACGGTAATAATTTATTCTTTGTTATGAGTTTATCATATATTAGCAAGTAGCAAGTTACTGCTGAGAATTGAAACGGTAATAATTTATTCTTTGTTATGAGTTTATCATATATTAGCAAGTAACAAGTTACTGCTGATTTACAATTGCCTTGGCTTAAAAGAAAAACCAAATGCTATATTGTTATGAGTATAAAAAAATTTCACAGTGCACTGAATACTTATTGAAAACCGTAATAAAACTTCACGTTTCGCATTGTAGGTAACATTACATTATTCTTCATTAGTCACAGTCGGAAAATCATTGATTTATATGATAATCTATAATTAAGCTTTTTTAACAAATGGATTACATATAAACCATTCAAAAAAGTCAGTACACTGCTATACTTTGTCTTAGCATTTCGAATTTTTCATCTTTTAGAAGTGATGAATTATAAGATATGGTAGTTATTGTATTGATGAAATATTTTGTCTAAGTGATTCTGTAGTGATGGTTGAAAAAATTGGCAGGTTTTCTTTAATCAAGCCGCTGCATCAAATGCTGAACGTATCTTGATCATATGTGATCGTGGAGCCATGGATCCGGCAGCATACATCGACAAGAAATCTTGGAATCAAATATTAAATGAAACGAATTTAGATCAATTTAGTTTACGAGAAGATAGATACGATCAAGTGAATTCTCCAAATTTTATTTTGAATGTTTCAGTTATTATTTATTAGCAGATTATTAATAGAATGTTTCTGAAAAATTATGTAACTTTTTTCCTGAAACAATGAAATAGAAATATAATTACAAAATACATTTTGGAATCTTCAAACAGTAACTTAGTAACATAGCTATCATAAAATTTTATGCTACGGTCCCGCTTCTTCCCATAAAGTTGATGCTATAATTCTTAAAATCTGATTTATTCATGGGAACGATGATATTTATGGATTTCGCTTGTTAATGCCATTAAATATTAGTGTTTGCTTGGGATAGTGTTTTGAGATTAAGTCCTAAGGCTGAAATTTTTAAAAATTAAAAAAAGAACATTCAGGACATTGCTTACATAGATTCAGGACATTGCTTACATTTCAATAACCCATCAGTTGATTCGAAGTGCTGGTACTATAGTTGCACTCTACAATATTCCAAATAATTTTTTTTTAATTTTGACTGCTGAAGAAGTTTGTTTTGCAGGTTATACATTTGATAACAGCAGCAGACGGTGCTGAAGAATATTATACTTTGGCAAATAATGGTGTAAGAACAGAAACAGTTCAGGAAGCTATAGAGCAAGATCGACTTACCCGAGATGTAACGAACTTTTTTTTAACGAATATCGATGTATTTGTTGTTTTCAGCACTTGTTTACTTTTTGATAATCTTATGATTCTAAAATTATTGTAGGAACTTTTTCTTTCATTTATCTTCAAGGATGTATCTCTCTATAAGTTTCAGATTTTCTTTCGTTTAATTTTCTTCCCCTCGATTTTCTTTCCCTCATTTTAATTTTGTTTCCACTGTAAGGACAGTTTGAGCCCTATAGAAATGTGTAATAACGTCTGTTGTTGCAAACTTAATATGCGAAATGTGAATATTGTGAAGAAGGAAATATATTGGAAAGAAGATACGATTCGTGTAGCGCTTTTATATTGTAAGTTAATCAAGTCAGTAATCATTGAAATTTATAGTATAATTGAAGTTGTATATTGTTCAGTGATCGTTTTTACATAGGTTTGGCTTGGACATCCACGTGTTGATGTAATCGAGAATGTCGGATGCAAATCATTTGATGACAAAATACTAAAACTGACTGCTGCCATATGCAGTCGATTGGGTCTTCCTATTCATGATCGATTAGCCTTCAATAGCAAGTAACTTTTACAGAGATGATTGACAATTCAGACGTGGGGTTAGGTTACGGTTGAATTTGACGCAAATAGCATTTTGTAGGAAAAGAAAGTGGCTTGTTGCATCGTTTGATGAAAAGCGTTTGCCACGTTGCGAGGTGTTTCTTGTGCGGCATGCTTACTTATGTACCGAGGACCAAAATGTTCAGGTTTGATTTTGTTCTTTTATGCAGGATAGTCAGAGAATTTTTTCTTACGGAGATCGCAGAAACTAGTTTGGTTCCTCGAACAATTTTACTGTGCTCTGACAAAAAGAGTTCTGTCTTTATGTAAACGGTGGGAAGGAATGTACTGATTTTTTTGTATGAATAACATTCTTGCACCCGTTGGCAATGACATCAATCTTCTTTGAAAGTTCACCAGGGATGAAAATAATTCATTTTTTATCTTAACTTTTTTCCTTTATTGATAACTTATTGTTTCGGTCAGTGTATGGTATTACTAAGCATTTACTTTCTTAAGCTAGATGAATGGCAAATTATATTTATTTAAGATTCGGTTGCGTTCACGAAGTCAGTATAGCCGTACAACATATACTATAACAACTCGACGCTATGATGGGCCAGAGCCAGTAGAAACTTGCATGCCGCTGAACTACCGAGAGTATATCAATTATACTAAAATGGAAGATCGTTCAAGAGCGCCAATCAATAAAGAACGGAGATGTTTCATGTACGGCAAACAGGCATGTTCTTGTTTTGTGTTTTGTTTTAATTTTGAATTTTTTTCAAATTAAGTACTATATAGCCTTTGAAAACTTTTATTGCATGGTATAGAATATCACGCTATGATATGCAGGAAATCACGAAGGACATTATTGAGTAAATTGAAAACTAAATTGAGTTTTGCTAGATCTCATGCCTACACTGAAAAGTTTATTTTATTGAACAACAGGATAGTTTCGGCGTTTTTTGAGTTTAGATATTTTCATTTGATTCTATTTTCGGGTTCTATTTTCAATTACCACTTGAAGATATATTCTTTAAGAAGTGCATTATTTACTTAATTTATTTTACCGAATTTATTTTTATGCTATTTCCAGTGCTACCATTTGGATAAGTATACTTCTCCATTACCGCCATCACGCGAGGGAAAACCATTAATGTTACTGGAGGCATACACGACGGCTCCAGTCGGTGATACTAACAAGCCATTATTACCTGATTTTATGACTATTTTAAAAGAAGTAACAGATGATCCAGAATACAGTATGTATACGATTGCCAATCGAAATGCTAAGGTGATCAAGAAAAACTAACATTTTGCTTTATCACGTTGAGAATTATTCCGTATTACTCTTATCAGCCTTCATTATCTGTAACATTAAACTAGTACAAGTTGTCGTAGTGACATCCTGTATCATACAGTCTGATTCTTTTTAAATTAGATATGTTTTCGACTTTACTTACACAGAAATCATGGATTCTTAGAGATGCGGATGAGTTCATAGGACTGTACGTGTTTGCGAAGCTGTGATAGCTCCCAATAAATAATTTTCCTCTCAATGATGTTGGGAAATGATATTGGTCATCAATAGACTTTTATTAAACAGGTATCTAAAGTTCAAATTTTGCTGACATTTTCAAGAATGTATACAGTGCATTGATTTTCTTTTAAATCGATAGCTTTTAGGCAGTAAATCAGTAAAATAAGTAACGATCGACAATACTCTGTAAAATGGTTTAGCCTGTCGGAAATCCGAAATAATTTTATGATATAAAAAATTTGCGTAATCAAAATATTTTTTGTATTCTTGATATCTACGCTATAGAAATTGTTTGCCTCAAATTCTCATCCAAGCGATAAGATATGCTTTATTTATTATCGATGTTTGTTTATCATTATCTGCTTATTTTTTTTTTAAATATATTTTTCTTCAATAAAAACTTTGTAAAAATTAAAAGTTACTTTTTTTAGAATAATAAAGTTATCTTTTAAAGTACGCGATAAGGTAATATAATGCTAAATTTGACTAAATTGAATTATTAATGCTAAATTTGACTAAATTGAATTATTAATCATGCTAATTTTGCAGAAAGATTTGCAGGAAAAGATGTAAGCATAGATGTCAAATCTTTGCTTGTGCTTAATTATCATCAGAAATTGAAATGAAAAACAAAATTGTCAACTATTATCACTATTATTTAGATGATAAAAAAGTATATCTAAATAAAGCTAACAATTGAATTTTAAAGAAAAGAAATTTTGCTACATAAAAATGATCAACAATTTTCTGCAATCTACATTATATCTGCTATCTGTGGAGGAAATAAGAAAATCATTGAAATCGACAAATTCGCACAGAATACCGAAATATTTTGATATGTCATATTTATTGGATGAATTCATAGTTTCAAGTACTAATTCCTTAATTGCGCTTTTTTAAAAGTAAACGACATCATGGCAATTTTTGCGGCGCTAATGGAATAATGAAATGCCTATTGGAAATACTGTTGTTTGTCGGAGCTCTCGGTGGTAGTTCAGCATGATGAAAATTTTCTAGCTAATAGCACTGCCAATCAATACCGATCATCTCCGGCATTTAGTATCAAGTGATATTTGAAGAGCTTTCTGCCGTACGACTTGAAAAAAATTTATTTTCATAAAATTTATTTTCTATTATAAGTTGAATTCTGGCGAAGTTTTACTTTCTGTATTTCCAATAGTTTTAATCGAACCTTTTATTTATTATTACAATTTAAATAAGAGTATGTGTGGTAACATATTCTTACTTCTGATTTCCTCCCATTTCATGAAATGAAAAGTTTATTTCAGGATGAGAATCAATAGTATATTAAATAAATTACAACATTTTCCCTCTCATTAGTATCAATTCAATTTTACAGATATGAAAAAACTAAAATGAAATGAAATTGTGCAAAAAATATTATCAGTGCTTTGCAGAAACTATTTTTCACAATTCGATACAATAGTTGAAATGAAATAATTTCAATGTGATAGATGATTATACATCAGTTGTTGCTATTTTATTGTTAAATGTATACTATTATTAATACACGTTGATTGTAATCCCCATCTGTATAATAAGCATTTACAAATATGATACTTTGATAGTTCCTAATAAAAGCTATTTGGTGACCTTTGTCCTTCCACAAATTTCATTCAATAAAAACTATTTCATTTATTTCAACAATGAATATCAGTCTCTTCCCAAAATTTGCGTTATGTGAAAGATAAATTATTTTTTACATAAATTTATATAAAGATTAATTTATCTTCCACATAACGCAAAATTTTGGGAAGAGACCGATATACTTTGCATGAATTATTTTTCATAATGAAATACATTTTATCAAATTGAAATTATTCTTAATAAAAATTATTGGAGCTATCAATCTCGTTATCAAGTTATCAAAAGTTATGGGGCGATCTCTGCCATGTTCTCTTTCACTAATTTCATTCACTAGGTATTACCTCATTCATTTCAATAAATAATGTTAGCTTCGTTTAAAAATTTCATGTTATGTGGAAGATTATTAGACATCACAATAAAACTATAAATAAGCATCCTTTTCTGAAATCACAATTTTCTTCCTATAAAA